ACACTGATCCAGACCAGAGCAGAGAGGATGGCCCCGACCAAACAGATCAGGCATAAATCCACCAGATTATTTTCTGAAAAATTCTATTTACTCCACCTCATGGACACAGTAAGAGACTATGACCATCAGTAAAAGAACCGTGTTGTATTAAAGCTTTCTTTATTGATGTTTCCGGGCCATAAATAATCCATAATATTTTTTTCTTTGTCAATAAATACACATTATCTTAAAAAAACAAACAAACAAAACACATGAAATGCTGAACCGCACAGGTAAACAAGCTCAATGTGAGTCTAGGTAAGTGCTTGTCGTGGGGAAGTAACAGCGGCAGGAGCAGCAAATGTATTGGTAAAGCAGTAGTAGTAGCATCACTGGTAGCAGCAGTAGTATAAGTAGTAGTACTAGTAGTAGTAGTAGTAGTAGTAGCAGCAGTATATTTCTCATTTCTTTGCTCTCGCTTTTTGAGTGTAGAGTTCGAGCCAATCCAGAACAGTGTCCAGTTCTCCAACAGCCTTTTTAGCAGCAGCATTGATTTGTAACTGAAAACACAAAAGTTCAAAAGAGACCTGAGGACTGGACTAATGTGGTGGTACTTCCTGGTTCTAGTCTGCTGTTTTAGACCTTGTTTGGAAAGACCAGAGGCAGAAGTCTAACCTACTGGAGACAAAGCTGGATAAGAATCTCCATCATTACCCCCTCTGTGCAACGCTTTGTGACCCTGGTCTGCGAAAGGCTCTATACTAATAAACTCTTCTCATTTGGTGTTTTCTTTGGCCGCCTGCCTTATCACAATAAAAATGTGCTCATACGTGTTCTGAATGATGGAAAACATGCGTCAACAATTCCACGGAGTCTTACTAAGCTTAGCTGTCTTGTTGTCATGGATTTTCTCAGCCATCCTCTTCGTCTGAACTCTGACGCACGAGCAGGACTTTCTTAATACCTTTATAAACATTGAATCAGAATCACAATCCTTTTATTGCCGTGTGAGTAACGAGAAGTACCAAACAAGGACATTTCTAGAAAGAGAAAGAGTCTTATTAAAGAGGATTTATGGCAAGGCAAGTTTATTTATGTAGCCCAATTCATACACAAGGCAACTCAAAGTGCTGAACAAAACAAGAAAGCATCAAAATCATAAATAATCACAGAACATTAAAAAGGAAGATAAAAATATAAAATCCCTCAGTTGTATGCACAGCTAAACAGAACTGTCTTTAACCTGGTTTTAAACATTGTCAGAGAGGAGGCCTGTCTCACATCTTCAGGAAGATTGTTCCAGATTTTAGCAGCATGAATCTGAAAAGCAGCCTCCCCATGTTTAGTTCTGACTCTGGGCACTAACAGGAGTCCAGTCCCTGTGCTCCTCAGAGTCCGGGCTGGTTCATATGGGACTAACATGTCATTCTTATTCTTATTCTTATTTTTATTATCTCTCTTTGACTGTTGCACTGAGCCAAAGCAATTTCCAAGTCTGTGACCTCCTGTTACTTACGTTGGCAATAAAAATGATTCTGATTCTGATTCTGATTCTGGTAATATATTTTGGTGCGAGGCCATGGAGAGACTTGTAACAAGCAGAGCTGTTTTAAAGTCTATTCTCTGAGCCACAGGAAGCCAGTGCGGAGACCTGAGAACTGGACCAATGTGGTCGTACTTCCTGGTTCTAGTCTGGACTAATATGGTCGTACTTCCTGGTTCTAGTCAGGACTCGAGCTGCTGCATTTTGAATGTACTGCAGCTGTTTTACAGCCTGTTTGGACAGACCTGTGAGCAGGCCATTGCAGTAGTCTAACCTACTGGAGACAAATGCATGGATAAGAATCTCCAAGTCTGCTTTAGACACTATGTTTTTGATCCTGGCAATGTTTTTTAGATGGTAAAAAGCTGCTGATGTTACTGATTTAATGTGGCTATTAAAATTTAAGTCTGAGTCCAGTATTACCCCTAGATTTCTGACCTTGTTTGAAGGTTTTAGGAAGAGAGACTGTAGATGACAGATGACGCTCTCTCTTTGTTTCTGGGGACCAAAGACAATCATTTCAGTTTTGTCTGCGTTTAGCTGAAGGAAGTTGTTTTGCATCCACTCACTGATCTGTTGGATACAGTGAAGGAGTGAGTCCACTGGTCCATGTTCTCCTGCAGTCAGTGAGACATAGATCTGAGTGTCGTCTGCGTAGTTGTGATAGGACACTTTGTTTCTGCGTATTAACTGACCTAACGGCAGCATGTAGAGATTGAACAGAAGAGGTCCCAGGATCGACCCCTGTGGGACTCCACAGGTCAGGGCCATATGATCTGAGACACAGTTTCCAATCTCCACAAAGTACTTCCTGTCTTCAAGGTAAGACCTAAACCAACTTAGGGCGGTGCCAGCGACGCCAACCCAGTCCTCTAGTCTCTGTAAGAGGATCTCATGGTCGACAGTGTCAAAGGCAGCACTCAGATCTAACAGGATTAAGATTGAGACTTTGCCTGCGTCAGTGTTCAGCCGGATATCATTTGTAACCTTGACGAGAGCAGTCTCAGTGCTGTGGTGGGGTCTAAAGCCGGACTGAAACATATCAAATGAGTTGTTGATTATAAGAAATCTGGTAAGCTGTAGGTAGACAACTTTTTCAAGGACTTTGCCCATAAATGGCAGATTTGAGATGGGACGATAGTTGTTAAGTACCGTAGCATCCAGACTGCTCTTTTTTAGTAGGGGCCTGATGACTGCAGTTTTCAGGGCCTTTGGGAATATTCCAGAATGAAGGGACATGTTTACTATCTGTGTGAGTGAAGGTAACAGACTGCTCAGAACAGACTTCAGAAATCTAGTGGGTAGTACATCCAAGCTGCATGTGGAGGAGCTCAAACTGGAGATTATCTCTTGGACAGTTTGATCATTTACAGGTGCAAGGTGAGTTAGCTCAGAGAGCCTTTCTGGCTGTTGGATTGTTATCTGTGGATTGGAGACAATGGCGTTTTTGATGCCTTGAACCTTGTCATTGAAAAAATTAGCAAACTCATTGCATTTACGTTTGGAAGTAAGCTCTAATGGCATCTGAACAGGGGGGTTTGTTAATCTATTAACTGTTGAAAACAGAACACGCAGATTGTTGCTGCAGCTCAATCCTTTCAGAAAAATACCTTTTTCTCGTACTACGTAGCACCCGGTTAAACTCGCACAACTTATCTTTGAAGATCTCGTAATCAACCTGGAGCTGTAAAAGGTAACAAAAGCGGCTTTTTTTTCTGTGTTAAAATGGTTGTTTTGAATTAAAAAGAACACCATTTCACTGGGGACGTTTGCAATTGTATTCCAATGTGGTTTTACTGCAGATGGCAAAGAAAAGAATCTGATCTCGAGTTATTTCTACCTCTATCTGCGCTAATTGGGAACTCACAAACCAGGCCCTGGCTTTCACAGGCGGGTTAGGGTTAGGGTTACAGGTGGCGTTTTATTATGACCTCAAAGAAGCAGATGGAATGATATTTTACTCATTGCTATAACTTAGATGTTTGATCTGAATGTTTCTTTACTTGTTTTGTTAAGCACGCTGAGTTTCCTTGTGTATGAACTGTGCTATACAAAAAAACTTGCCTTGCCTGAATTTCCCTATTGGAAAAAAACACTGTGGCTTCACCTGAAAGCATCTCATATATTCGCTGCAGGTTCGCTCCGACATGACAAGATTATTGAATTTTTTTTTATTTTGCTGATTTTTTTTTAACATAGAGTACAGACCATTAGTTTGGACACACTTTCTCATTCAAAGAGTGTCCTTTCTTTTCATGACTATTGTCTGTAGATCCACACCAGGCTGTGTAAGGGCTGTTTGACCAATAAGGAGAGTGATGGTGCTGGGCCACATGACCTCCAGAGACACCGGACCTGAACCCAGACCAGATGGTTTTGGACCTGAACCCAGTCCAGATGGTTTTGGACCTGAACCCAGTCTAGATGGTTTTGGACCTGAACCCAGTCCAGATGGTTTTGGACCTGAACCCAGTCTAGATGGTTTTGGGGCTGGACCCAGTCCAGATGGTTTTGGACCTGAACCCAGTCCAGATGGTTTTGGGGCTGGACCATAGAGTGAAGGGGCCAACAAGTGCTAAGCATCATGGGAACTCCTTCCAGACTGTTGGAGACTATTTCAGGTCCTCTTGAAGCTCATCCACAGAATGCCAAGAGTGAAGCAGTATCAGAGCAAAAGGAGCAACTTTGAAGAACCAGAATATTACACATATTTACACTTCATACTTTTTTCTTAGTACGTACATAAAACCACATGAGTTCATTCATAGTTTTGATGCCTTCAGTGTGAATCGACAGTTTTCATAATCATGGAAATAAAAACTCTTTGAATAAGGTGTGTCCAAACTTTTGGTCTGTACTGTACTTTTCAGCTGTATTATAAAACAGTGTAGTTAAACTATTTTAAACTATTAACTATTCTAAACAATAGTAATACTGTTTTGAATGAGCTGGAAACTGCAGCACGTCTGTAAATGTTACTGCAGTACAGTACAACCTGTAAATGTTACTGCAGTACAGTACAACCTGTAAATGTTACTGCAGTACAGTGGTTTTACACTGGTCCAGACCAGAGCAGAGAGGATGGCCCCGACCAAACAGATGCTATCTACTCCACCTCATGGACACAGGAAGAGACAATGACCATCAGTAAAAGAACCGTGTTGTATCAATATTTTCTTTATTGATTCTTCCGGGCCATAAATAATCCATATATTTTTTCTTTGTCAATAAATACATATTATCTTAAAAAAACAAACAAACAAAACACATGAAATGCTGAACCGCACAGGTAAACAAACTCAATGTGAGTCTAGGTAAGTGCTTGTCGTGGGGAAGTAACAGCGGCAGGAGCAGCAAATGTATTGGTAAAGCAGTAGTAGTAGCATCACTGGTAGCAGCAGTAGTATAAGTAGTAGTACTAGTAGTAGAAGTAGTGGTAGTAGTAGTAGAAGTAGTAGTAGTAGCAGCAGTATATTTCTCATTTCTTTGCTCTCGCTTTTTGAGTGTAGAGTTCGAGCCAATCCAGAACAGTGTCCAGTTCTCCAACAGCCTTTTTAGCAGCAGCATTGATTTGTAACTGAAAACACAAAAGTACAAAAGTCAGTCCTGGGTCTACAGCTTCAGTCCTGGATCTACAGCCTCAGTCCTGGATCTACAGCCTCGGTCCTGGATCTACAGCCTCGGTCCTGGGCCTAGAGCCTCAGTCCTGGATCTACAGCCTCAGTCCTGGATCTACAGCCTGAGTCCTGGATCTACAGCCTGAGTCCTGGATCTGTGTTCAAAATGTTTGATTCTCTGATCTGTCTTTGGCGAATCGACAACTTTGTAAAGCGCTCCGAGACAACTGCTGTGGATTTAGGGATATACACAACTAAACTCACTCTAACATTTTTGCTCCTGAGTCTGGACAGAGAAACCAAAGCCTGTGTTTTAGAGCTCTCTGGCGCCCTCTGCCGAACGCCACGGCAAAGATCAGAATACTGTTTTTTTTTTTTTTACAGCCATGCAATGTCACAGAATAGAGTAAAAAAAGTAAAACAATACATTATTTTAATTTTAATGTCCAAGCAGCTCTACCTAATGAAAAACTAAAATTGTTCCAACTTGATTTGAATGAGAGCCGTCAAAATGGCTGCTCTCGGAGTTCCAGTAGTTTCTGAATGTTAACAATATATAACTCACAAAGCAGTCAATTTGACGGCTTTTAGTTTTTGAAGCGTAATCATTATGTAGTTTATTTTACGTCATTGTTATTAAATTATCTTTTATTTCTTAAATGTGGAGTTCTTACTTTCACCCCTTCAGCAAGTTCTTGTTACCATAGCAACACACCTTTTACTAGCAACAGTTAGCATGTAGCTTTTCAATGCACTGTTTTCATGTATTTCAGTTACACTAACCACTTATTAAAGACCTTATACATTATTTAAATCTGGTGAAAAACTAAATATTTTTTGGGGCATTTCTCCAGAATTCCATAGTTTTTAGAGAGAGCAGTCCAAATTACTTTGCGTTAGTAGTTAAAGCGTTTAACAAACTAACAGTATTTAGCGTTTGTGGGGATTCTTACCTTGTCGAACTCTGTGACGATGGAGTCCATGATTCTCTGAGTGTCTTCGTCGCACTGACAGCGCTGTGGGACGAAAGAGCGTGTTACTCTGAGGCACCACTCTTAGAATATTTAACATTTTTAACATGTGTGTCCCATGTACTGTATAAACCAGGCCGCACTTGGACAGAAGCCACAGGTTTACATGTCGTACCGTAAGGTGCAGATGTCATTTTGCCTCACTTACACAGGTGCAGATGTCATTTTGCCTCACTTACACAGGTGCTGATGTCATTTTGCCTCACTTACACAGGTGCTGATGTCATTTTGCCTCACTTACACAGGTGCTGATGTCATTTTGCCTCACTTACACAGGTGCAGATGTCATTTTGCCTCACTTACACAGGTGCTGATGTCATTTTGCCTCACTTACACAGGTGCAGATGTCATTTTACCTCACTTACACAGGTGCGGATGTCATTTTGCCTCACTTACACAGCTGCGGATGTCATATTGCCTCACTTACACAGGTGCAGATGTTATTTTGCCTCACACAGGTGCGGATGATATTTTGCCTCACTTACACAGGTGCGGATGTTATTTTGCCTCACTTACACAGCTGCAGATGTTATTTTGCCTCACTTACACAGGTGCAGATGTTATTTTGCCTCACTTACACAGGTGCAGATGTTATTTTGCCTCACTTACACAGCTGCAGATGTTATTTTGCCTCACTTACACAGGTGCAGATGTTATTTTGCCTCACTTACACAGCTGCAGATGTCATTTTGCCTCACTTACACAGCTGCAGATGTCATTTTGCCTCACTTACACAGCTGCAGATGTTATTTTGCCTCACTTACACAGCTGCAGATGTCATTTTGCCTCACTTACACAGGTGCAGATGTTATTTTGCCTCACTTACACAGGTGCTGATGTCTTTTTGCCTCACTTACACAGCTGCAGATGTCATTTTGCCTCACTTACACAGCTGCAGATGTTATTTTGCCTCACTTACACAGCTGCAGATGTTATTTTGCCTCACTTACACAGGTGTGGATGTTGGAGCGGACGCTGATTAAGCCGTTAGCCACCGCGCTGGCTTTGCTCTGCAGCTGTGGCTCGGACACAAAGTTCACAAAGACTCGCTCCACGAAGAAACGCAGCAGCAGACGCATGAAGCAGCACGTCTGGCCCTCCTGCACAGAGAGAACATGCAAACACAGGGTTATATTATAGAGTTATAATGGAGAGAGAGAGACAGCTGGAGGTGAGAGACTGAGACAAGGTTGATCTAAACTCACGTTAACCTTCTGGATCAGAGTTTTATCCAGCAGTCTGACCTCTATGGCCGTGTCTCCAGCGATCTGAGAGAGAGACATAAGAACATTATAGTTGTGTGTTTTTGTGCCTGAGTCCTGGATCTACAGCCGGTCGCTCTCTCAGTGTGGGCCCTCCCGAGGTTTCTCACTTAAGTCCCGCTGTGTGTTCTTTGTCGATGCAGGAAAGTCTAAGGACAGCGATGATGTGGGACATTTGTGAAGGTAAAGGTGCACTACATTTACGCCTGTAGGACAATCCATCTTCTGCATTTGACCCATCCTGATGCCACTAGGGCGTCTATCAGGAGCAGTGGTCGCCGTAGCAACAGAGCCCGGGAACCTGTCTCCAGATGTCGATGCTCGGCTTGGTCTTGATTCTTTGTTCTGTGTTTTGGCGATTTCTACGGTTTTGTAAAGTCCTCCGAGATATCTGCTGTTGTGATTTAGGGCTGTTCAAAAGTAGATTAAATTGAAGTAACGAAGGTATAGTATTTTCCCCAGAACCCAAAACTAATGTCTTTATCAATCTATTTTTTAGGGACAAGTTTACACTTCGATATCAACAGTCAAGGCCAATCTTTTCAATGTCCGTCCAGAGAGAAAGACTCACAGAGATGTTGTGTGTGTGCGTTTGTAAGTGTGTGTTTGTGTGTGTCTGTCTCTGTGTGTGTGTGTGTGTCTGTGTGTGCATGTGCGTGTGTTTATATGTGTGTGTCTCTGTCTGTGTGTGCGTGTGTGTGTGTGTGTGTGTCTGTCTCTGTGTGTGTGTGTCTGTGTGTGCATGTGCATGTGCATGTGTTTATATGCGTGTGTCTCTGTCTGTGTGTGCGTGTGTGTGTGTGTGTGTGTCTGTCTCTGTGTGTGTGTGTGTGTGTGTGTGATTGTGTAGTAGCTCACAGCAGAGGGGCGCAGGGCGGAGCAGTGCTTTTGCAGTTCGTGTGTGTGTGTGTGTGTGTGTGTGTGTGTGTGTGATTGTGTAGTAGCTCACAGCAGAGGGGCGCAGGGCGGAGCAGTGCTTTTGCAGTTCGTGTGTGTGTCTGTATGTGTGTGTGTGTGTCTGTCTCTGTGTGTGTGTGTGTGTATGATTGTGTAGTAGCTCACAGCAGAGGGGCGCAGGGCGGAGCAGTGCTTTTGCAGTTTGTGTGTGTGTCTGTGTGTCTGTATGTGTGTGTGTGTGTGTGTGTGTGTGTGTGTGTGTGATTGTGTAGTAGCTCACAGCAGAGGGGCGCAGGGCGGAGCAGTGCTTTTGCAGTTCGTGTGTATGTCTGTGTGTGTGTGTGTGTGTGTGTGTCTGTCTCTGTGTGTGTGTGATTGTGTAGTAGCTCACAGCAGAGGGGCGCAGCAGTGCTTTTGCAGTTTGTGTGTATGTCTGTGTGTCTGTGTGTGTGTGTGTGTGTGTCTGTCTCTGTGTGTGTGTGTGTATGATTGTGTAGTAGCTCACAGCAGAGGGGCGCAGCAGTGCTTTTGCAGTTTGTGTGTGTGTCTGTGTGTGTGTGTGTCTGTCTCTGTGTGTGTGTGTGTATGATTGTGTAGTAGCTCACAGCAGAGGGGCGCAGCAGTGCTTTTGCAGTTCGTGTGTGTGTCTGTGTGTGTGTGTGTCTGTCTCTGTGTGTGTGTGTGTGTGTGTGTGATTGTGTAGTAGCTCACAGCAGAGGGGCGCAGCAGTGCTTTTGCAGTTCGTGTGTGTGTCTGTGTGTCTGTGTGTGTGTGTGTGTGTGTGTGTGTCTGTCTATGTGTGTGTGTGATTGTGTAGTAGCTCACAGCAGAGGGGCGCAGGGCGGAGCAGTGCTTTTGCAGTTCGTGTGTGTGAACGTTGATCACACATTTGTCCAGGATCACGGTGCGACTCTCACATCCAGGGAGCGACAAGAAGGACAGGAAGTACAGGAAGCACAGAGGGACAAAACACTGAAGCATCATGGTTAATCTGGCACTGGAGAGTCGGGCTGAGGACACAGGACACATGTAATCAGAACCAGTACCAGAACCACAATCAGAAGTGTTATTAATGCCCTTGTAAGTAACTGTAAGTCACAAACCAGGAATTGGCTTTGGCTCAAGGTGCAAACAAGTGCTATAATAATGTTGTAGCACTTTAATGATCTTGCAGCTATCCATTGTTTCCCGCATTTTTTTTTTCAAATTTAATTTTATATCTGTATTTTTAACCCTGTTCATTTTCGTACTTGTCTGGTGCACACTGGGGACTTTTGCACATGTATTCCAATGAGGTTTTACTGCAAATATCAAATAAAATGAATCTGAATCCTATTCTGGAGATGGAATATGTACATACAGAAGTAACCGCAACACCAAGAAATATGAGTAAATGTAAATGAGAAAAGCAACACAACTTATTATGTCATAGATATATTTACAGATAACACATTTTTCCGAGGCACTTGTTATGTAATTTTATACTGTTTATCTAAAGTGTCTTGACAACATTCTCAGCTTAGAGATGTTTTGGCTCCGGTCCAGAATTAATTAACAAGTTGAATGTCTAGTAAAAAAAGAAGTTATCTTTAGTAGTAGTAGTAGTAGTAGTAGTAGTAGTAGTGTTATTATAGATATTAAAAAATATCTATTCATTCATTCATTATTAACCCTTTATATTTTTAGTTTGTTTTAAATCACTCCCATTTTCATGTAAATTTCTCTTTTTTCTACTAAAACTGAATTTGAATGAACATGTTTCTTTCATGGTTCATTATTATTCTGATATTTGCTAAACCGACCAAAATGAGTTTCAAATCAGCCACGAAGGATGAAGAGACCCTGACCCCCGTCCCATCGTGGGGACATGTCAGTATTTAAGTTACATTTATAAATTGGCTTCAGTGGTTCACGAGGAGTAAATGTGACCTCAGCACTCACTCATCACTGATGGTTTGGCTAAAACTTGCAAATAAATGATAATTATTAGCATTTTGGAAGATTTGGACGGAGATGGAGAGAGGGAAGAGATGTTATTAATGCATTATGTGTATTATGTGCAAAAACACTTGTATCATAAAGAGCACTGATGAAAAAGCCCGGATAAATCTAAATAGCGACATACATTTGCAGAATAGGTCTCAATGAAAGTTTAATAAATACTTCAATTACATAAAATTACTAATGCGAACGATTGCATAAATACTACAGGAGTTGTGCTCATCAGAGTGAAGTGCTCCGGTAATTAAAATAAATATTAAGTCATACAATGTAAAAAACACATATATAATTAAGCAAAAATATATATAACAGGAGTTTTATGTAAGCAACATTTATCAAGATGATAACATTTATAATGAGAAATATATTAATACACTAATATAAATATACAGTAGAAGGATTCAAGCAATTAAACAAAAAATATAGACTCCCAACTTTATCCAAATCCACTCAAATCAATGTAGTTTTAACCCATAATTCAAGCATTAAAAAACATAATTTTAGTGTATTTTTTTCTACTGAATATTTCTGAAAATATGAACATCCAAATGAGTTAAAAATCTCACCTTTTGGATGCGGTTTGGCGACAGGTGCAGATGTGTGTCCTGCTCTCCATTCTGCCTGATATTTATACTGATGAGATGGGGAATTCTGCAGCAGGTAAATTGAAGTACATGCCCACAAACAAACGAAACAAGAAGAAAAAAAATACAAATCAACCTGTTAACCGGAGAAGGAAGTAGAGGTGGAAATGCCAATATCAGGGAGAGATGATTCCTTAATTGTCCGGCGTCACAAAGAAACACATTTCGTTTCTTCTCAAGGTAAAATGACTCACACATGGCATTTATTATTGTTGGAAATGCATTATTTTTCTTTGTGTCAGGCTTTGCAAGTGCTGCACATGTACGTCATAGTTTTTTCTTTTTTTTACATACTGTACAACTAACGCTGGAGGCTGGTCTAACCGGTTTCTCCAAATATACAGTAAACCACTCCTAAAAGTCAAGTTTGCTCCAATCACGGATGCGTTAGCGCCAAAGCTAACGAACCAGAGCCAAGAGAGCATCAAGGGAAATCGCAAATAGGAAGTCCAAAAATTCCATCCAGGAAACAAAATTCTACACAAGAAAAAGATAAAAGAAGAAGTGGGTGTCTAAATTTGTAAAGAAAAGCAATTAGGTTTAAGTTGATGTCACTGCTGCATAGAAACCTGGGAAATCCTGGTGCGTGTAAACGAGTGTGAATACTGGGGCTAAAAGAAGCGTCCTCTGCCTGTGGAGTTTCACAAGCCGTTCATTCATTCATCATAAGTTTGACACGTTTACTGCCTTCATAAATGTACATTATTGATTCATTGACGAAGACTTTAGGTTGGGACAGACCTGGACAAACTGTGGTCCAGGAGCCACATCAGGCCCGATTCACATATCGGTCTGTTGCTTATCAAAATAAATCAGGAGTCATTTCCCAGTGACTAATATTTGCTCTCATCACCGTCCTACATTCTTCATGTTCTCAGTAATGAACCCAAAAAGTAATAATTTGATGTAGCTTTTTGTTAAATTAAATAAAACTTTAAAATGGCCCCTGACCTCCACAATAGAGCAACGTCCCTATGTGCCCCTCTGAAGAAAATAAATGCCCACCCGAGAGAATTTCACAATTTACACAACAAACCACCATCTAACCCTGGCACAAACATGAAACTCTGCTTTTATAAACAATGTAAGTCATTCTTCAAAGTGTATTAAAAGTAAAATCAAAGTATTTTGACCAACGAGGTGAGTTCCAAAGGCACAATGGGACAATTCAGAAACAGTAGCAACAGAAAAGCATTAATACAAAAGATGGATACGTGAGGCCATTGAAATTAAGAAGGGGGCGCATGGACCATCAACAGAGATGAGGGGGGTCTTCACCTTGGCTCACACTTGGGACTCACTTCTCCAGAAGGGGCGTTTACACCACCGACGCATCAACGCACTGGGGATGCGTCTTGGACGCACAATCACTAAATGTCAGCCGCATGATTTCAGTGAATCTGACGCACTGCCAAACCGAGCTGCAAAATGTCGGGCGGAAGTGGGCCATGGATGTGTTATATTTACAAACCAGTACAACCGTATCGACAAACACGCTAGCAACATTTTTTTACAGTCACTGGAGATTGATTACCCAGGCTGGAGGCTCATGCAGGTTTAGTCCTGGTTTAGTCCTGGTTTAGTCCTGGTTTAGCTCATGTTTAGCTCATGTTTAGCTCATGTTTAGCTCATGTTTAGCTCATGTTTAGCTCATGTTTAGCTCAAAGGTCAATCAAATACATTGAGGGAGAAAATGATTGTTACTGTTCTCCGCTCTGGATTCTGTGGCTCAGAAAAGACTTTAAAACAGCTCTGTTTGCAACAAGTCTCTAACTGGCCTCGCACCAAAGAACATCTGAGACATGGGACTCTGAGGAGCACAGGGACTGGCCTCCTGCTGGGACTCTGAGGAGCACAGGGACTGGCCTCCTGCTGGGACTCTGAGGAGCACAGGGACTGGCCTCCTGCTGGGACTCTGAGGAGCACAGGGACTGGCCTCCTGCTGGGACTCTGAGGAGCACAGGGACTGGCCTCCTGCTGGGACTCTGAGGAGCACAGGGACTGGCCTCCTGCTGGGACTCTGAGGAGCACAGGGACTGGCCTCCTGCTGAGACTCTGAGGAGCACAGGGACTGGCCTCCTGCTGAGACTCTGAGGAGCACAGGGACTGGCCTCCTGCCGGGACTCTGAGGAGCACAGGGACTGGCCTCCTGCTGGGACTCTGAGGAGCACAGGGACTGGCCTCCTGCTGGGACTCTGAGGAGCACAGGGACTGGCCTCCTGCTGGGACTCTGAGGAGCACAGGGACTGGCCTGCTCCTTCCCAGAGTCAGAACTTAAACATGGGGAGGCTGAATTTCAGATGTATGCAGGTAAAATCTAGAAAAGTCTTCTTGAAAATGTGAGACAATGTTCAAATCCAGGTTAAAAGCAGCTGTGTTTGCTGAGCTACTGTCACTGTCACTTTTTAAAGACAATGAATATTACAAATAAATGCATACAAATACACTGGCTTGTCTTGCCTAATATTGGACACTTTGATATAAGGTGGACATGGTCGTTTTGGATCATTTCATGTTCTGTGGAATCAACTCTGTCTGTAAGAAATAATGAGACAACATTCAAAGTTACAGCAACAAATTTAATTATCTTTGTAAAATCAACAAAGTGGCTTTTTACAGAAAACAAGCACCTATTTGTACACGGCGTGAGCAAACATTGCAGGAGCATTCAGGACCACCTTAACTACACGGTAGCTTTTTAGACCTTTACTTTTGTTTCTGCAGAAAACTGTCCATAAATGTGTCCTGCTCTCGAGCCCCTCACACAGATTATAACTTTGTCTTTTGCGGTTCAAGTTTGTGGTTTAGTTCTTGGGTCAGACCTGGTCAGAACTCAGGATTTGGTCTTGGTTGAGTCTCTGTTCGGTCTCTGTTTGGTCCTTGTTTCTGTGTTTTAAAATAAATCCTGACTCCTGTTTAATCCCAGTTTATTCACATTTTTATGGAGTGTGAATACGACAAAATCTTTCAAGTTCAGGTTTGTTCATTTGTGGTTTTGACTTTAGAACGTAAAATACTATTTAGTCCTGGCCTGGTCCCAACTTTGTCCAGTCTCTCAGTCCTGTGTCAGTCCTGTCCCATTTTAGTCCAATCCTGTCTCAGTCCTTTTTCAGTCTGGTTTGAATCTTCTTGAAGTCCTGTTTTGTTCTGTTTTTGGTCCTGTAGTCTTGTCTTGGTCCTGTCTTGGTCCTGTGTGAGCCCTTTTTATCTTTCTATCAGTCCTTGTTTCAGTCCTGTTTTAGTCTGGTTTTAGTCTGGTCCTAGTCCTGTTTCAGTCCTGTCTTGGTCCTTACTTGGTCCTGTTTGAGCCCTGCTTTAGTCCTTGTTTTGGTCCTGTCTCGGTCCTGTCTCGGCCCTGTCTCGGCCCTGTCTCGGCCCTGTCTCGGCCCTGTCTCGGCCCTGTCTCGGCCCTGTCTCGGCCCTGTCTCGGCACTGTCTCGGCACTGTCTCGGCCCTGTCTCGGCCCTGTCTCGGCCCTGTCTCGGCCCTGTCTCGGCCCTGTCTCGGCACTGTCTCGGCACTGTCTCGGCCCTGTCTCGGCCCTGTCTCGGCCCTGTCTCGGCCCTGTCTCGGCCCTGTCTCGGCCCTGTCTCGGCACTGTCTGGCCCTGTCTCGGCCCTGTCTCGGCCCTGTCTCGGCCCTGTCTCGGCCCTGTCTCGGCCTGTCTCGGCACTGTCTCGGCCTGTCTCGGCCCTGTCTCGGCCCTGTCTCGGCCCTGTCTCGGCCCTGTCTCGGCCCTGTCTCGGCCCTGTCTCGGCACTGTCTCGGCCCTGTCTCGGCCCTGTCTCGGCCCTGTCTCGGCCCTGTCTCGGCCCTGTCTCGGCCCTGTCTCGGTCCTGTCTCGGTCCTGTGTGAGCCCTGCTTTAGTCCTTGTCTTGGTTCTGTAGTAGTCTTGTTTCAGTCCTGTTGTAGTCTGGTTTTAGTCATGTCCCAGTCCTGTCTCAGTCCTTTCTCAGTCCTCTCTCAGTCCAGGCCTTGTTCTAAATGACGATGGAGTGCAGGTGTCTGAAGCACATGATGACGTCCATGGGGATGGGCGGGCTCAGCTGGTTCCCGTCCAAACGGAGGTATCTGGGAACAACAGAATATAAATCCTTCATTTCCCCACAATATTTCACACAGTGGCATTTTATATTCTACAGTATATCCCTGGATAAAAGTGGTTCCCTTGTGAGGCCACTAGTCCTTCTTTGGTTTACCTTCTACTTCTATTTTAACTGAATTTATAATTATGTAATTTTTCCCACTTTCAAGTTAATAATAAAACAGTCAGTTATCCTTCTGAGCTGTGTCATTATAATCAGGAGGGTCCCAGGACAGTGGTGATGATCCAGGACTCTCGACAATGAACCACATTTATGGACCCGTTATGGGCATTGGTCTCTGTCAATGGCTCTAGGTGTTTTTTTCATTGCATTTTCTGTGTTTTAACTGTTTTATTCTCTGATCTGTGTCGGCAAAACTCTTGTGATTCAGGGCTATACAAAAATAAATGTGATTGAATTATCCATTACTTCACACATTCACAAAACTGTACTTGCTCCATGTGTGTATTTGATAAGAATGTTGTATTTTTTCTTTTGTTTGTATTCATTTGGTTTATTTGAGAAGGGACATTTACAAAACAAAACATCTACACTCTGTCGAACGGTAATGTGAATGTGAGGCAGAGGGATTGAGGCTCTCACCGCAGTCGGGGCATCAGGCTGTGGTCCTCGGGCTCCACCTCCAGACTGTAGGGACACAGCAAGGTCCCGTTGATGCCTGTCAGAAAAACAGACGTCAGAGTTCACCTTCACGAACCCAAACCCCTGAGCACCCGCCAAACCTGGAGACAGCCACGATTATAGTGGCTTGATTTGTTATTGTTGGAAAGAAACATCAGGAATTCATCAGGAATTTTGTTCAGCACTTTGAATTGCCTTGTGTATAAATTGTGCTATATAAATAAACTTGCCTCGCCATCATTATCTGTAATCAATCATTTAATCTGCTGCTGTGACCCGTCCTGCTCCACCCAGAGGCTACTCCACCTCTGCTGCTGTGACCCGTCCTGCTCCACCCAGAGGCTACTCCACCTCTGCTGCTGTGACATGTCCTGCTCCACCCAGAGGCTACTCCACCTCTGCTGCTGTGACATGTCCTGCTCCACCCAGAGGCTACTCCACCTCTGCTGCTGTGACATGTCCTGCTCCACCCAGAGGCTACTCCACCTCTGCTGCTGTGACATGTCCTGCTCCACCCAGAGGCTACTCCACCTCTGCTGCTGTGACATGTCCTGCTCCACCCAGAGGCTACTCCACCTCTGCTGCTGTGACCTGTCCTGCTCCACTCAGAGGCTTCTCCACCTCTGCTGCTGTGACATGTCCTGCTCCACCCAGAGGCTACTCCACCTCTGCTGCTGTGACCTGAAGGGCTGTTGCTGATTAACGCTATTCTTAGATTTTTAGAATTATCAATTTTATTTTTGCTGCAACTGGACACCTGGTTTTTTTCTGACGGGGATCAATAAAGTATCTATCTATCTTTCTATCTATCTATCTATCTAATCGATCATTGCTGTAGCTACAGTTTACCATGTCCATGTTTGGAATGAATATGTTATTGTCAATCTTTTTATAATGCAATGTGTTATTACTGGGCTTCACGGTGGCTGAGTGGTTAGCACTCTCGCTTCCCAGCAAGAACGTCCTGGGTTCGAATCCCGGTCAGAACACGGTCTTTCTGAGTGACGTTTGCATGTTCTCCCTGTGTTTGTGCACTTCCAGGTGCTCCTGTATCCCCTACCACTGACAACATGTACAATAGATCTGAATGTAATGAGTGAGTGGATGGTGTTTGGTCGGAGGCTTTGATGGACCAGAGTGTTCGGCGTCTCGCTTCCGTCATCACCGTGTGGAGAGAATGATAGATATCTGAACTCTGAACATCGTAAATCGCTTTGGTTGACCTTGGTCTGTAAAAATGCGCTGTATAAATTAAAGATTACTTACTTACTCAGTACTCACTTGTTTCTGTATTGCCAATTCAACATTCTTTCTTAATGATAGCGATGTCAGTTTCGGAAGATTAATCTTGTCTTCTTTGTAGAATTATACGGTAATAACGTCGCTAACCTACTATCGTCTGAAAAAGAAGAACCAAATACTTTTGATACAAATGTCAAATGATAATCCAGAAACAGGATTAAGAGTGGGAATATAATGCAAGTCACTTTAAATAGCACTCGGACTAAAAAACCTGCACTACTGTTGCCACTGTTTCTTTGATTGCCACTTTTTAATTGCCACTCTTATATATATCCTGCATTTAACATGTTGCACATTTTTTCCTTTTTCTTTTGCACAACCTTGAGTGATTCTATCCATGCAAGATCTACATTTCTCCTGTGTAAGTCTATCTTATCTTAAATTATCCCAAGTTCCCCCAGTCACATGCGCTCGCTGTCAGGTCAAACTAAAGAAAAGTCAATCCCAAAAACTGATGTGGTTCCAGATTTTCTTATTTTCTAATTTCCACAATGCATCCAACGACATTTTATATTTATGGATATTTGTCAACTGCCCCTTTTTTATTTTTGCGTTTACAAAAATAAATGGAATCGAATTGAAGTTTAGAATCCATTTTTGTTGACAGACTTTCCACTATATTCACAATTGGATCCAAACGGAACCAAATCCTGATTTTCTTATTTCCACAACGCATCCACTTAAATGGCCTTATTATTACTACCTCTGCCACTATTGTCATATTTCAGTTCCGTTACAAATAAAACTATTACCACTTCCAAGTTTTTTGAAACGTGAAACATTTCCCGCATTGTCATTTGCTTTCTGTTAAATTACTTTTGAAACGGTGCCAAAAGCTTTATTGAAAATCCGTTTCTGTCTGGACGAGAAACGCGTCTGACTTCTCGAAGAGCAGTCGGAAGTTCAAACAGAAAAACGTCACTGTCACAAGAATCAAGTCACAACAGAGAGCCGGGAGAACCAAAGGAATCTTGGATCGGACCACGGCCACCACCAGGGGGAGACAAACCGGCTTCATGTCCTGATCACTACAGTGGATCAAGTGTGTCAGACTGTACAACAAACCTGTCTGAGTTAAACAATGTGCACAACTGTTAGCTAGTTAGAAATGTTGATAATTGATTTACTTATGTGTTTATATGGATGTGTTATCTGTCGCTGGACACCTGAATTTCTCTATCTATGTATCTACGTGAATACTAAAGATTCACCGCAAAAAGTGATGAAAAATAGGTACAAAGAAATTGTTCAAATTTGGCAAAATGTGTCTTAGTTTGAGCACATTGCGACTGACTTCATGTTGCCATGTATGTATGTTTCTTGTATGTTTGTAATTGCCCCTGTTGTTGTTTCTTTATCATTGCTGTATCCTTACCATTGTTGGTATTTTCTGTTCCTTACCATTGTTGGTATTTTCTGTTCCTTACCATTGTTGGTATTTGCTGTCCCTATGTACCATATTGGTATTTACTGTCTTTACCATTGCTGGTATTTTCCTTATGCATTTGTTTTGCATCCTTGTAATACGTATCTTGTGTGTATATGTCCTTAAACCCATTAATTGCTACTTAAAAAACCTGAACAGTTGATTCAAATGTGCCATTTGATTTGTTTTTGTACTTGAGCAAATGGGAAGCTCAATGAATAATGTTTTGTTTTGTTTTTTCTTTAAGGCACCAGGGGTGGGATTAAATAAGTTTTCTTCTTCCCACTCCTTTTCGAGTATCTGTAAGTGTTTCTTTTGTGTATATAATATTCATAATTTTGTATAATGTAGATATAGCTCAGGGTTATTTATACACAACTTTGATATTCTACTTTTGTTTTTCTGTACACATATTTACTCGAAATAAACAAACTTTGATTGATTGATTGATTGACTGAAAACAAGATTCCCCAATGGGACAAAGAAAAATTATCTTGTTTTAAAAAGATGTCATGAATGTCTCCCTTGGAATGAGAAAATAAAGCAACAGTTCTTGAATTAAAGAGACTAAATGTTTTTGTCCCATTGGAGAATCTTGTTTTAACACAGTCGGACTGAACTCAACTTTGTACCCAAAAGATTCAAGCAATTATTATTTGCAGTGCTGTCACAGATCGGAGAAAGCCCAAAAAAATCTTGAACAGTCTTCCTTAAAATATGAGACAGGCCACTTCTCTGACAATATTCAAATCCAGGTTAAAAACATGTCTTTGTCGCTGTGCTTTAACTGAAGGATTGTATTTTCACTCTTTTTAATGTACTGTGATTATTTATGATTGTTCTTGTAGTAGTAGAAGTTTATTTTCTTCGGTCCATTTGTACACTAGATCTCAGGTCACACGTTTTCAGAGATCACAAACACTTTTTACAACAAGAAAAAGAAGAACCAAAATCTGTCCATAAAGGACCTTGTGCGAAACCATGCCTGACTGAAAGGGGTCCAGGCTGAAGTCGAAACTTGCACTGCCTAAGCGCTGCTACAATGTGACAATACGTCCAAAGATGACACATTATACAGTTTCTTATTTACCAACGATGGAAACATGAAGCAAGACAACTTAAACTTAGACAAATCAAAATTTTGTTAAACACAGTCAGAATTATTATCTTGTATGATTGTTTCCATCTTGTTTTGTCAAGGACTTTGAGTTGAACTGTGCTATACAAACAAACTTGCTTTGTCTTCACTGTTTATAGAAGTAAGTGCACGATCTGTAACTCAGGAGGTTAAATAGTGTCAGTGTGTGTCACTTTATCTTTCAGAGTTTCGCTGGTTTGGGAAATATGCACACACACACGCATATGCACACACACACACGCATATGCACACACACACACACATACACACACACGCACACACATTCACACACATGCACATACACACACACGTACACACAACCTCTAACTCCTCTTACGTGATCCACCGTGTATGAGCTCATTCTGCAGCGACTGGTGTTGGTTCAGAATCAGATACAAACATATTTACATCAACGTTTATTTATTTTATCAACAACTTTGCATCCAGGCACTTTTCCCCCGAATTGTGTTTTTGTGGAGAGAGTTAATCATGGAATTTAGTCTGTGGTACTGCAGACTAAATTCACGTGGGGTACCCAGAACAAAGTCCCATAGAACTCAATGTAAATTAAAACAGCTCGACCTCAGCTGACAGAGAACCTGACAGAGAACCTGACAGAGAACATACAGCTTTCATAAAGATCGGATTTTGTGGGGATTTTAGTTTCCCTTGTCATCCTGAACTTGTTTTCTTCTTAAATCCTTTGCTTTTCTTTAAATCCACACTTTACTGCCACAAACTCTGCTCCTTTCCTTCCCGCTCTGACTCCGCTCTGCCTCTGCCCTGATCAGCAGCTCTGATTGGTCAGAACGCGGCCGAGCCCCTCTGTGCACGTGCATGAGACCCACACACGAGTATTTGGCGCAAAGCATCATGGGAGCTCGTCCACTGCACAGAACCAGGAGGACCAGACGATGCCCAAATATAGCCTAGTTCCTCTGATATGTCGGCGTCCGTGAAGTCCCGTGCGCTACTGAGCACAAGCCAATCATTTGAATAGGGCGCCATCTTGGATCACCGGGGCTGGGAGTTAAAACACGTTAATACAGTTAATACATAAGCTGCAAATGGAGACACTTTGAAGGCAGAAGTATGATAACAGCACTATCCTCTCCACTTCCTAGTCATCTGTCATCATTACGACTTCAGCTGTAGTCTGTTCATTGCTATTTACCCACTGTCCCATTGTCTGTATCACAGCCTGATGATGGCGCCCCTGAACCCGGCCTCTGTGACCCGTGCACCCGTGAACTGCTACCCCCATGGCCCAGACTCAAGAGCCGTACCCCCCTACCCACCTGGAAGCGCCCCTGTCTGTTTGTTGAAAATGTAAAGGGGTGCCCAAACTTTTGCATATCACTGTCTGTGTATGAGTGTGAGCTTGTTGTGCATCGTTTTCTGCTGACTTCAACTTGTATTGTGTCATTGCTCAGGTATGGAAGAGTCTGCTGGTTTGGGAACCACCAACACGCACACACACACACAGACACAGAAGGAGACACACACACACACACACACACACACACAGAGAGACACACACACACACACACACAGAGAGAGAAAAAATCCCAACAAACGAGTGAGACATAATGCAAGTCATGGCTGCTACTGTTTGTTGGTGACTTCATTTGAAATAAATGACACGATGACGTATGTAGAAAATCCATCCATCCATCCATTTTCTTCCCTTTAATCCATTTTTGGGTCAGGGGGGTGACAGTCAGAGATGCCACCCAAGTCTCATAGCACCAGCCCCTCACTGACCCTCTGCAGGTGGTGAGTCCACAGGAGGGGATGTAGTAGTATAGAAAATGTGTCCTCAAAATCACAAATTAAACAACTTTTCTTTTACAACTTCTTCAGAGGAAGAATGTGAGGGTGTTCGCATTTTTGTGTGTGTCTGTGTGTGTCTGTATGTGTGTGGGTGTGTGTGTGTGTCTGTGTGTGTCTGTATGTGTGTGTGTCTGTATGTGTGTGTGTGTGTACTGACTCTCGATGCTGTTGTGGTTCAGGTGTAGATGCTCCAGGTGGCTGCTGAACATGTGTGTTTGTGTGTGTGTTTGCCTGTGTGCGTGTGTGTGTCTCTCTGTGTGTGTGTGTATGTGTGTCTCTCTGTGCATGTGTGTGTGTGTGTGTGTGTGCATGTCAGTGTGTGTCTCTCTGTGTGTGTGTGTGTCTCTCTGTGCATGTGTGTATGTGTGTGTGTCTCTGTGTGTGTGTGTGTGTACTGACTCTCGATGCTGTTGTCGTTCAGGTGCAGATGCTCCAGGTGGCTGCTGAACATGTGTGTGTGTGTCTGTGTGTGTATGTGTGTGTATGTGTCCATGTTTGTGTGTGTCTGTGTGTGTGTGTGTGTGTCTCTGTGCATGTGTCTGTATGTGTGTACTGACTCTCGATGCTGTTGTCGTTCAGGTGCAGATGCTCCAGGTGGCTGCTGAACATGTGTGTGTGTGTGTGTGTGTGTGTGTCTGTGTATGTGTCTCTGTGTGTGTGTGTGTGTGTGTGTCTGTGTGTGTGTCTGTGTACTGACTCTCGATGCTGTTGTGGTTCAGGTGCAGATGTTCCAGGTGGCTGCTGAACATGTGTGTGTGTCTGTGTGTGTGTGTGTGTGTGTGTGTGTGTGTGTGTGTGTGTGTGTGTGTGTGTGTGTGTGTCTGTGTGTGTGTCTGTGTACTGACTCTCGATGCTGTTGTGGTTCAGGTGCAGATGTTCCAGGTGGCTGCTGAAGGCGGGGACAGAGGAGAGCTGGTTGTGTGACAGCTGCAGGTCGAGCAGAGACGAGAAGTTGAAGACACTTTTGGGGACGCCTTTGTCGCTGAGCTGGTTATAGTTCAACCGAAGGAACGCCAAGTGAGACAGATCCTCAAAGTAATCCCTGCAACAACGTCAAAAATTAAATATGTATAACAGACCACAACAATGTTCATGTCCCAGTGATTTGTTTGTCTGTAGCAAAAAACATCTAACATCCATGATTGCCACCAAATGTGAGATGCGTAAATTGAATCCCTACAACAACAATGTTTGGCCATCCTTAATATTTCTCTAATTTACAGAGGGCTTTTGTCTCTGGAACTGCTGGGTTAAGAGAGCGCAAAATTACACATGATTTTGTTGCCTGACCTTTATAGACGAATGGTAAAGGTTTGGGATAAAATAAAAGAAGAATGTTGATAAAGGCGCTGAGGTCAGAGAAGAGCAGAATACCACTATTTGGTCCAAATGGAAAACACTGCACTTCAAAGAGTGCCGAAAAAATAAGTCAGAAACTGCTCAAATTGGGCCAAATATATCTTATTTTGAGCACATTTATACTGCCCTGAAACAATATTTGGCAATGGTCCTGTAGTCTGTCGTGCCTGAATGTGTCTCTCCGTGTCCCTCTGAGTCTGAATGTCCCTGTGCTCTCCCCCATTTGTTGCTGGTTTATTGTCTGTGTCTAGTAGTCTGTACACTGTAAAAAGTGATGAAAATTAAGTTAAATATTTCTCAAATTTGGCAAAATGTATCTTCATACGAGCACCTTTTGACTGCCCTAAAACAAGATTTGTCAATGGGACAAAGAGCAAAAAGATCTAAAAATATAGAAGATATGTCTCTCTTGGAAGGAGTAAATAAAGTTCTTGAAAAAATACTAAACTGCTTTGTCCCATTGGAGAATCTTGTTTTTACACAGTTGTAATGTTCTCAAATTAAAATTAAAATAAAACACTTGATTCTGCTGTTGTGATTTAGGGCTTTACAAGAATAACTTGTATTGTATTGTATTGTATTGTATTGTACTCTCTCTCAAATCTGGGGGTGGCAGCATCATGCTATGGAGCTGCTTATCTTCAGCAGGGACAGGGAAGACTGTCAGAGTGGAGAAGTTGGATGAAAAACAATCTTGGAGGAAAAGCCGCCAAAGTCAGCAAACACTGGAGGCCCCGGTGAATGTTTATAATCCATCGGGAGAATTTGCCTAAACACTTTTGGTTCAAGGCAACGCTCAAAAATCAAGTATATATTTATGTTTTAGAATCGTCCAGATCTGAATCCAACTGGAAATCTGTGAAAAGACCTATTGCAGCTGTTCACAAACTCTCTCCAACTCATCTGACAGAGCTTCAGTTGTTTTGTAAAGAGGAATGCGCAAACTACCACATGTGATCCTAATATGCAAAATAGATGTTAATCCTTTCATGAACTTTGGGCCATCCTTAAAAATTCTCTAGTTTACAGAAAGCCTCGATCTTGTTTCACCTTTAAGCACATCTGGGACATGTTAGTACCACAGGGACTGGCCTCCTGCTGGGACTCTGAGGAGCACAGGGACTGGCCTCCTGCTGGGACTCTGAGGAGCACAGGGACTGACCTCCTACTGGGACTCTGAGGAGCACAGGGACTGGCCTCCTGCTGGGACTCTGAGGAGCACAGGGACTGGCCTCCTGCTGGGACTCTGAGGAGCACAGGGACTGGCCTCCTGCTGGGACTCTGAGGAGCACAGGGACTGGCCTCCTGCTGGGACTCTGAGGAGCACAGGGACTGACCTCCTACTGGGACTCTGAGGAGTACAGGGACTGGCCTCCTGCTGGTTCCGGAGTCAGAACCAAACATTTCAGATTTATGCAGCTAAAATCTGGAACCGTCTCCATGAAAATGTGAGACAGGTTTCTTCTCTGACAATGTTAAAATCCAGGTAAAAAATGTTTCTGTTTCACTGCAACAACTGAAGGATTTTAATGTAACTCTTTTTAATCTTCTGTGATTATTTATGATTTTATTGTATGAACTTAAAATTAACTTGCCTTGCCATACACTGCAAAATATTATAAAATATGAGGTTATAATTGCTTGAATCAAGTGGTTTTTTTTCACAATCTGAGTTGATTCCGACTGTTTTAGAACGTTTAGACTTGCCAATGGGAGAAAGCCACTTACTTTCAAGAACTGAATTTCGTAGATTTTTTTGTGCTCAAATAATTTTCAATAATTTTTAGACAATTTTTGACTTATTTTTCATAACTTTTTGCTGTGTACTTTGATAACCCATTGTACACACACAAAACCGATTATCGAGCCTGTGACCCGTTCCTTTGGTGTGTTCATGTGTTCATGCGTGCACTTGCTTGGGGATGTCGTCGATGCGGTTCTTGTCCAGGAACAGTTGGATGACGCCTTGGGGAACTCCAGGCGGCATCTTCTTCAGGACGTTGTGCGCCAGGTTGAGCTGCACCAAACTTCTCAGGTCCCGGAACTCATTCTTCCCCAGGTCACGGTCGCTGAGCTGCAGGAAAAAGCAACACCTCACCCTCAGAACATGCACCGTTTACGACTCCTGTCACTCACACGGGCGCCATGACGACACCAGGGTTCACCATAGGCCAAGGTGATGTCACTCTTTCAGACTGAGGTGCCGTGTGAGCGACTGAAACTGATTATCTTCACAAATGAAAGATGTCTGATTCTGATTTGCTTCATGAAAACACTTAACCCCCAAGTGACCAAGATATTTTAAGCGAGTCATTTACTTTTGAATGCGCTGGAAAACGGCTGTATTTAGCATTGTACTTTGGACTAGAGCAGAGAAAATGGTCCGAACCAAGCGGCTGCTCCACCTTGTGACACGTCCTGCTCCACCCAGAGGCTACTCCACCTCTGCTGCTGTGACCTGAGGCTGTTGCTGATTATTACTATAGTTATCTTTTTAGAATGATCAATTTTATTTTTTATTTTTGGACACCTGAATTTCTCCTACAGGGATCAATAAAGTATCTATCTATCTATTTGTTGACCTCCACACACGGGGACATTTCTAGATCCATGATTGTTTTAGAGTTCTTCGCTGTAGGGATGCATTTGCATCTGTTCTGAGCACAGGGACTGGCCTCCTGCTAGAACTCTGAGGAGCACAGGGACTGGCCTCCTACTGGGGTCCGACTGGCTCCTGGCTTACCCCCTCTGACACCCCTTGACCACTCCAGTGCGACCTTATATATATATGAGCAAGGATCTCTTCTACGGGTCTCTGGCCTGTGTAGGGTCTGGGTCAACATCTTGTAGATCCCTTCATGGGGAAACTTCAGCTTGTCTAAGAAACCATCTTAGCAATACATGAGGAAATAGACTCCAGCTAGCTTACATTCATATCGGCTCCTCCGCGTTAAAGGGCCGTTCACACCGGACCATGCGCTGCGTCGAGTTTCAAAGCAAAGTACGTCAAACCTGCATTCGCTGCGGCAGAGGCCGGTGGGTACGCAAACGCAGGGGATCAACATTGTTCAAGTTTCTACACCCGCATGTGTGGCAACCAATCAGAGAGCAGCAAAGTGGTCAAGGGGAGACAAGCCGCTCATAACAAGAAGATGAAGACACTTAAAAACAACCAAAAAAAAACTGACAATGGTGTACACAGTGCTTGTGGATTCTCCTGTGACTGTAAACAATAGTTCTGCTGGCGTGTTCGCTGATAAGGAAATGCCGGGTCAATGATATAATACAAGCCGTTAAATTGACTGCTCTGGGAGAGTTAACACATCATCAGCATGTGTTATAGTTACCAAAGAAACTGCTATAACATCAGAAAAGCTTCCTATTTCTTTCATATCAATAGAACAATGGTGTGTTGTGACCACATGAAGAAGAAATCCTCCATTAGTCCCACAGTGGGGAAATTTTCAGTTTGATGAATACACATCAAGGCATGCAGCGGACATTACTTCCGCGCTCCTTATGGGTTAAGTGTCTTGCCCAAGGACACATCAACAGCAGACATCAGTGAAGTCGGTGGAGAAGGTCTCACGGTGGGCTTAAACCCACAACCTCCAGGCTCAAAGGCCAATGCTCTACCAACTGAGCCACTGCCCCCATTATGGTATTATTGAACCTCTTTTAGATGCATGCTTTGAGATTTTCCCCACACTTTTGGTTTCTCTTTGTGGCGGTGGAGCAGGTCTTTTATCTCCAACGCACATCTGCTGGGAACACGCCAAAGAAGTGTGTAACCTCGAGAAACACAACCTGCTTTTCTGACTTCCTCATAGCTGTGGGAGGAGACTGAGAGCGTTCCTTTAGGGTAAAGTCGTGGATCGTGTGAGAAGTTGCATCAGCGTTTGGGTATTGGATGATCTCATGTCGCTGATGCTCGGGGCCATCGCAGAGACAAAGTAGTGACATCACAAGACGGCTTTTAATTATGGTCCTCGATCTTTTACAACACTAATTACCGGCTTAAGAATAAAATCAATTGGACTCTGGTATATTGTCAGGCCTTATACAGGATGACACCATGACTGATAGACGGCTTGATTTATTTATATGATTCTTGCACTACTGTTGAATATGACACTGCAAAATAAGTCAAAAAAAGTACAAAAAATTCTATTCTGGCAGCCTTAACTCTTGTATCTTTTTTTAAAACAAGATACTTTTGCTTGTCCCATTGGCAAATCTTGTTTTAAGGCAGTCAGAATGTGCTCAGATGAATATATACGGCACAGTGGCTGAGTGGATAATTCTCTCGCTTCTCAAGAGGGTCCTGGGTTCGGTCGGAACAGGGTCTTTCTGAGTTGAGTTTAGATGTTTTCCCTGTCTCTGCATTGGTTTCCTCCAGGTGCTCCGGTTTCCCCTACCACTAAAAACATGCACAATCGGTCTGGCATACGCCTCCTGTACCGGCGACCAAAAATAACATTTGTGAACTGCTTTGTGAAATGCGGTATATAGATAAAGATTACTTACTTACATATATTTTGCCCAATTTGAGCAATTATTTAAACTTATTTTTCATCAAGTAGCTAACAATAGTAATAAGGTCACAGCAGCAGCAGAGATGGTCTGTGTCTATGGGAACATGTCGTGTGTCGCCCTGGTGTTTTTAAGTGAACAATACTCTATCCAGTCATTAGAATTATATTGTATATCCATGGGGTGGTAGTCCGTTCTTTTCGGGGTCTGAGGTCCTGGTCCTGGAACAAAACGAGGAGAGCAGGGAAAGTACCAAGTTTACTGCTGGAATTGGGTGCGGCATAAATGTGTCAAATTGTTGTATAAAATGAGTTAGGTTTGAATATTGTTGGGTTGTAATCTGCTTTATCCCCTCATAGTGTGCGCTCTTGTGGACAATACAGAATAACGAGTCAGAATTAATGAGTCAAAGTAGCAAAATGAAAGATTTTCATGTCATGCGATCATTAAAAGGCTCTAATCTGTCAAAAGGCATTAATAAAAAAATGCTATTTTCCAAAACTTCTTTAACTGTATGTTACGGCTCCAGGTCTGGGCCGTTTTGCGCAAGCACCCCCTCCCTCTCCTGGTGCGTCTCTCCTGCCATTCGCCCGGAGTCCTCCTGTATGGCCAATAGGAGCTCCGCCCGAACCAATCTGCGCCACCAGCTGACCTGCCCGCGGCCAATAAAACAGCGGTGCGACGTCCAGACGGGGCGGCTTGTTTCCAGTACAAGTGCGCCAGCCTTGAGAGACAGACGTGTGGTGCAGAGCTGACACCTTTGAGAGACTTTACGTGACCGTGTATGACCGTTCGAGACCTTACGAGACATTCATAGAATTGTGATTTGTTACCTGTCGAAGGAACCCCTTTTGTTTAGTTTCTGACTCTAAGTTTTGTCCAGGACGTTACCTTTTCTGCTTAGAAATAAAAGGCCATTTACTTTCGCCAATTACATCTTGTTGTGTATGTTGCATTTCCTTTCCCCTTCTCAGAGCCAAGTTTAGGGCTGTAACACTGTAGTTCAGAGATATTTGGATCTCAATATTAGTTTTACAGCCCCTAAATCTTGTTATTGTTTTCGATGTCCCGCCCTCCACCGTTTCACCAATCAGAAAGTCCGTGATACGGGTTGCCAGAACTCAATGCTAAAGCACCATGTGGCACAGAACTACAAAAAGAATAAAACCAGGATTTCGCTCGATTACTATGTTGGTTATAGATTTGTTGTGGACAAAACTCTTATTCAGCTGTTATGGTCCCAGCTGGATTTGTCCCTCTCTCTCTCTCTGTCTCTCTCTTTCTCTCTGGTCTTTCTCTCTCTCTTGCTCTCTGTGCTCTCTCTCTCTCTTGCTCTCTGTGCTCTCTCTCTTTCTCTCTTTGTGCTCTCTCTCTCTCTCTCTGTGCTCTTTCTCTCTCTCTTTCTCTCTTTGTGCTCTCTCTCTCTGTGCTCTCTCTCTCTCTTTGCTCTCGCTCTCTCTCTCTCTCTGTGCTCTCCGTGCTCTCTCTCTCTTGCCCTCTGTACTCTCTCTCTCTCTCTCTCTCTCTCGCATATCTGGCAACCTGATGTCTTTTAACATGCGCACACCAAATTCAACCAGAAAAATAAGCCTTTACTCCAGACTCCGACCCGGACGAAACTGGTCTCAAACCACAACCCCAGGCCTCAAGTGTAAATCCAAACTTAGTCCAGATCAAGTGCACGCCATAACACATTGTGACTGGATTTGCAATTTTTCTTTTATACATTGAAACGACACAAACGACGACACAGTTTACGCTCGATTCTCCTGAACTGAAGAGAAACACAATAATCCATCACTGTGTACGTTCAGATATGATGTCACTCTTAAATCAACAAAACCGGTCTGACCTCGGCCTCTGAATAACAGCGTGTTCTTGGAGCCTCCCCTCGTTATGAAGAAAGTTATTTGGAGGAATTCCTAAACAGAGAACGGCTTCTTCATATTGTCTGAAGGTTCTTCACAGAGAAATAATCTTTAAAGAGAATCCTTTTGGCAGAAGCGATCTTTACTTTGGAAAGCGCTGGGATCAATAAAATATCTCTCTAAATCTCTCTTTCTTTCTCTAGCTATCGCTCTCTTTCTCCATCATTTTATCTATCTGTCTTTTTTCTCTTTCTCTACTTCTCTCTCCCTCCCTCTCTTTCTTTCTATCTATCTCTCTCTATGTATCGTTATATCTCACCTTCGTCTCTTTCTTTATCTCTGTCTCTCTGGTCTCTCTCCCCCTCTCTTTCTCTCTCTGTCTCTCTCTTTCTCTGTCTCTCTGGTCCCTCTCTCTTTCTCTCTCTGTCTCTCTCTTTCTCTGTCTCTCTGGTCTCCCTCTCTCTCTTTCTCTCTGTCTTTCTTGTTTCTCTGGTCTCTGTCTCTCTGATCTCTCTCTCTGTCTCTCTGGTCTCTCTCTCTGTCTCTCTGGTCTCTCCCTCTCTCTCTCTCTCTCTGGCCTCTGGTCTCTCTCTCTCTGGTCTCTTTCTCTCTGGTCTCTCTCTCTCTGGTCTCTCTCTCTCTGGTCTCTCTCTCTCTCCGGTCTCTCTCTGGTCTCTTTGGTCTCTCTCTCTCTCTCTCGCTCTCTCACTCTCTCTCTCTCTGGTCTCTCTCTCTCTCTCTGGTGTCTCTCTCTCTGGTCTCTCTCTCAGGTCTCTCTCTCTCTGGTCTCTCTCTCTCTCTGGTCTCTCTCTCAGGTCTCTCTCTCTCTGGTCTCTCTCTCTCTCTCTGGTCTCTCTCTCTCTGGTCTCTCTCTCTCTCTGGTCTCTTTCTCTCTGGTCTCTCTCTCAGGTCTCTCTCTCTCTGGTCTCTCTCTCTCTCTGGTCTCTCTCTCTCTCTGGTCTCTCTCTCTCTGGTCTCTCTCTGGTCTCTCTGGTCTCTCTCTCTCACCTGGTTGTGGTAGAGGTCTAGCAGGGTGAGGTTGCCCATCTTGCTGAAGGCTCCGGGGGGGATGCTGGTGATGCGGTTCTTGTCGAGTCTAAGTTGCTCCAGACCAGAGGGCAAACCAGCTGGGACCTCCTTCAGCTGGTTCTTCTGGACGTACAGGTACAGCAGCGAGGGCAGGCGCTCAAACACCTGCAGGGAGCAAAGGTACAAGTTACAGGTCACACACTTCACTGGAAATAAAGAAGCTCAGATGGAATCACACCAAAGCCCTTCTGTGACATGTTAGTGCATTATGAACCAACTGGGAGGAGCACAGGGACTGGACTCCTGCTGGGACTCTGAAGAGCACAGGGACTGGCCTCCTGCTGGGACTATTGAGGAGCACAGGGACTGGCCTCCTGCTGGGGCCCAGAGTCAGAACTAAACTTGGGGAGGCAGACATTGTGGGAAAAATAAAGCATCTCTAAATCTTAATCTTAGTCTTGATCTTAATCTTAATCTTAGTCTTAATCTTAATCTTGGTGTATCGTGGGCACCTGCTTGTCGATGCGCTGGATGCGGTTGTTGGCGAGGTTGATCCAGCGAACCTCGGTGGCGTTGACGAAAGCCTCCGCCGTGAGCTCGGTGATGTAGTTGTTCTGCAGATACAGGTAGCGTGTGCGTCCCGGGACCACAGGGACCGCCCGGAGGTTGTGGTTCTCGCAGAAGAGGGTATTGGGGTAACTCCTGGAGCACTTGCAGACCTGCGGACACTCCTCGAACATGTCGGAGGAGCCCATGATGACCGGGGGCAGGTCCGTGGGCTCGCGGGGCTCCTGCTGGAAGGGCCCCGGCTGGAAGGGCCCCGGCGTGGAGGGTCTTCTGGAGGTGGGCGGGCGCTTGGTGGGTTTCTTGGGTCGTGGTGCTCTCTGACTCAACACCGCCCCCACCAGGAGGAACAGCACCACTGCAGAGAGGAGTCCTGCACCCGCCTTCATCGTCCTGCGGGAGGGAAAAAGGAGGACATTGAAATAATAAAAGACACTTGACTTTCAACAACATTTATGGACTTTATCAATATTTATGATCATTGGTCTCTGCCCCTTATGGACCAATGGCTCTATGTGTTTTTTATTATAGCATTTCTTGGGTTTGAAATGTTTTATTATCTGATGTTTGCCGGTTTTGTCCTCCAAGAAAACTACTGTTGAATTTATTTATTTTTTTTATAATAATGTATGGGTTTAATACAGGGATTTTTTGGAAACACAAAGACGCTTCACATGTCAATATTCATTCACTCCATAAACTGGTCATAAACTACTACTGTAGCCACAGCTGCCTTGGGGCACACTGACTGAAGCGAGGCAACCAGTCCTTACTATCAGCTCCTCCCAACACCAAAAAACCCATTCACACAAACATCAGAATCATTCTAATATAATGTGAGGTGTCCCAGAGGTCGCCCATCACAGTTCTGACCAGGTACTGCCTTGCTTAGCTTCAGAGGTTATTCAATATTCAGACATAGATAGAAATGGTGCATTCTTTTCGTTTATTCCAATATGTTGTATCCACCAAACAAGACTAAACAAAGGGGAATTATTTAAAACTTTCCGAAAAAAAATGCTTTAAATGCCTTAAATCGTCTCGGAGGACTTTACAAAGTTTTTTAACAACAACAGATCAGAGAATCAAACAGTTTGCACACAGGAAATATAAAAACAAACACATAGAAGCCATTGGTCCAGAGTGAGAGTCTGTCCTTAAACGTCTCGGATCATCGTGGTCCCTCCTGCTTCGTTCCCAAACCCTGAATCATAAACATTTATCACATTGGAACAAAAATCGTTTAATAGCATCATTTTACAGTAGACCCACCGCACTGGCCGATCCCTCCAGTGTCCAGAGACCTCCTTTGTCATTAGGTTTGTGGAGTTTTGGGTGTGTCTCTTCACTTCATAAACTTTCAGTCTCTCCCACAGATGGCGGAAACCCAACGGGAAATGCCCCTCTCTCCTCCTCACATCTCTTTGCTTGATTGAGTGTCAGAAGTTTTCCCAAATGTTCAGGACCTCAGGACGCCCATGTATGTTTTGGATTGGCGTGTAGAACTTGTAAACTCTAGAAATGATTTTTGACTGAACTTGGATGGAACGCAGAGGTTTGTAGCTTGAATCAAGAATATGCTGGTATTATAAATATGCTCAAAGAACACCTTCATACGGTCTTGTTGGTCTGGTTCACTTTAACTGGACCTAGTCTGGTTCAGCTTCACGGACCAGTTTCATAACATCTACTGTATGCTGACTTAATGGACAAATCGTCACATATTTGTGATTTAAGTATTTTTGGTCCAGTTTAAGTGAACCAGACCAACATGTGTGAAAGCGTCCTTAGTCCCAACTGTACCACTTCTGATTCAATTGGAGCAAACATGTCTCATTTGTGTGAAGATGTGAAACAAGCAAACAAGTGTACCCCAATCCACAAGTGAATTATTTCTTTGGCCATTCATCAACTGCAAGAAAAATACAAATAAAAAATCTACTTAGAATGAAAAGCAAAATAGACAAAAGGGTTTATATTGTACTTTTTTATATATATATTTTTGGACACACAATGCTTTACCTGCCATAAAGTCTGGGATGGAGTATACACAGTGGGGATAGAAGCGAGTAGACTGACAACCATTCACAAACACACCAGACTCATTCTAATGTGGGCGACGTTAGTTTGGCACGTCACAGCCACGGCCGCCCCACTGAGGTCTCCCATCACAGTACGAACCAAGCCCTGCCCTGCTTAGCCTCAAAGGTCTGACGGGATCTGGCTTTTCACACAAAAAAGGGTTCTGTTTGGGCTGAAGTTTAACACTTAATTTGCCACTTATTTTGAAACAGTTCAGAGTCCACTTGACCTTGTCCACACTCACCCTGAGCGCTAACTTCACAGCAGAAAGACGCTAAAGGTGCAGGCTGAAGCTGAACCATTTTTACAAGTGTCATTTATCTAAAGTGTATAGAAACAACTGTAAAAAAAAATTAAGATTCTCAGTTCCATACAAAATGATATTACTTTCTTCATTAACAGGTGGGAGGGGCTTACTCCTTTTACAGATTGAAACGATTGGATCTGAGTATGTAATGTGCCCGATTGAGTTGCTAGCATTTAGCATTTATGCGGGGTCATGTGCCATAATCGCCACTAGCAGAGCCCGTGGGGGAACCAGAACAGATTACTGTACTTTACTATCGCATTCTCCGCCATTGCCAAACTACAACCTGCCAATTCGGCGCAAACGCATTTACCTACAACACCCGCCTCCCGCGCTCGCTGATTGGTCGGATGGAATTCAACCGATGTAACTGCAGACCCTGGGACTAGACCCAGACGATATATGCAGGGAAGTGATAATTGCGGAGTTTACAGATGGCTAAGGCCAGGCTAGCTAAGTGTGAATGTAACCAGTTTGTTGACCAATCAGAATCAGAAATATGTACAGTATATTGCCATTGAGTAACAGGAAGTCACAAACATAAAAATTTACGTTGGCTCTCGGGGCAAATAAGTTAGACAAGTACAAATGGAATAAGGCATGCATACAAAAATAAAAATAAATTACATAACATTTATTAAATATACTACTACATCTAAGTCGACTAAGTACACACTTCAGATAACGCTTCATACCACAGATAACGGACTTTACATTCATTCCTAATTTAGTGCATATTTGGATTTATAGATACGTCTAGACTTTGGAAAAAACTGAAAAAGCTGATCAGTCCTCAGTTCTTTTTGCCAATTTGGCCTGGCCCTCTCCACAGCGCCCCCTATGGGCCTGTGTGGACAATAGCCGCTTTCTCCCTCCTCATTTCCTGCTCCCTTCTTCTCCGGTGAAATTAAACAGCTCTGTTTGTTTCGGGGCCAACGTGTTCCTCCAGAACTACACAAATGAAAACAAATCGTCCAGGGCCAGCATTTTATTCAACGTTTGCAGATGTGTTGGAGGTGGGAAGCAAAATGATACACGCTACAGCTGCAAGAAGCTTGGAGTATACTGTGGTGTTGTCACAGAAAACCAGAAACAAAGAGAGTTTTGGCAGGAATCAGGATCTTGTGTCAGTCCAAAAATGTGTCTGTGAAGCTGCGAAAAGAAACGATGGCACTGGGCACAAAGGCTGCAAATCAATCAGGTCTGACGTTAATAAAGCAGTAATTATTCATGGATCTGTCACACACATGCAGCGGTCGACAAAAGGAAGGTTTTAACAGTCTATGGTTTTAACACTGGAACTCCCAGAGCAGTCAATTTGACGGCATTTGGTTGCACTTACTCTGCGTGTGGTCTTCATAACTTTGTGATTTTTTATGTTTCTATAAATTGGTTTATTTCTATCTCATTGTTTGTATGAAATTTTATGTTTTTATTTTTTTTATATGAGTATTTTTTATCTCTGGCAAATGCTTAGCAAAACAAAATAGAAACATTCCCACAGTACATTGAAAAGAGTAAAGATATCCAGACTTGGACTGGGTTTTGGACTGGTTTTGGACTGGTTTTCCACAAGAGAAGAGCCAGTGCTGGTTACCATAGCAACACCCTGTTTGCGGTCTGCTGCTAGCATTTCGTCTTTAGCATTAGCCTTTTAACAAACTAGATTTCAAGATATACTCACTGGTTTTTAGCATTTACTTACTTTTAACAAAATCCAGTGAAAAACAAACACATTTTAACGGGATTTTTTGAGGATTTTATTAGTTTGAATGAGAGCAGTCAAAATGATGGCTCTGAGAGTTCTGGTAGTTCCATGTTTCTGGGAGTCGTAGTGTTAGGATTTGTTTCTATAACCAAATACCTCCGACCTGAACAAGGATTTGTCTTTTCTTTTATACCTTTATCTAACCAGCAAAGTCTCTTTGAAATGACCAAAATCTAAACAAAGAAGTCCTGGCCACACATCAAAGGAAACGTGGACTTGGTCTTCGCTAAAGAGGATCTGACTCAGACTGGGGCCCCCTGTGATGTCACTGCCCCGACTCAGAACACTGGACTGGGACCTCTGCCAGGCTCTGGGCGTCACCACCAAAATCTCCAGAGGAAAAGCAGTTACATAAAACCAATGACAACCATCACAAGAAATTGGAAGAAAAAAAAGTATTGTTTGATCCTCGAGATGCAAACTGTCTTTTATCTTCAGATCTTGAGCGACAGGATATTATTTAGTTAAAAGTGCAAAAGGAAGACATTTGCTCAACATATACAGTACTGAGAGGACTAAAACCTGCACCTTTGTCTTTTTTGTCCACACACAGGCCACACTGGAATATAAGCCGCAGTTTTTACTCAGAGGCTACAATTTGACATCTATATTCTTAATACCTTAAAAGTGAGAAGAGATAGAGGCTTTATGTAAATTAGAGATATTATTAGGATGGCCCAAAGTTTATGTAGGAATGAAATGTACCCATCTAATTTGCATATTATGACTTCATACGGCGGTGGTAATCGTGGATGTTCACAAAATTTACAGTATATATTTTACTGACACAGATCACTAAGACATGGACACACAAACAGAACTTACATTGTACCACACTCAAGGGTCATGGAAATAGTAAAAGAGAGTAAATCATTTTGTGGCAGGGAGTTTGAATGAACTTTGGCACCGTTCTTGACATAATCGGTCGTTTTAAACAGTATCGCGGCGCCTTGAGGGTTAAACTGGACCTGATTTAATGATGAGGTGTTTTAACGCACTGTTGACTCCATTTGATGAATGCAATATTTACAATAGTCCTTAAAGGAATAGTTCACCGTTTTTACATACTGACATATGTTCTTACCTTACCTTAGACTAGTTAATACGTACCTGTCTGGTCTTAGTCCGTGCGCTCTGTCATGCAAACGGAGCAAAAACGGGAGCACAAACGCAGCCTCCTCTGTATACTGTATAGTACCCAAAAGGTAGCTCCCGCTAGAAGCTACCAAACTCTTCTGTCGATTTTCTCAGCGGATAAAACGGGTACTATATTGTGAGGCGTAGTAATCTGAGGAGCGCTACGTCCGCGCACTAACTTCTCTCCGGAGACTTCTTTCCCGCTCACTTCCGTCAATAGAAGCAGCGTGACTTGTAGTACGGAGAGAAGTTAGTGCGCGGACCTAGCGCTCCTCAGATTACTACGCCTCACAATATAGTACCAGTTTTATCCGCTGAGAAAATCGACAGTTACATTTCTGTGTTACTATACTTTGCAGTGTAACACGTCACGTAACTATATACATTTAATAGGGAACACTTGGAAGAGTTTGGTAGCTTCTAGCGGGCGCTACCTTTTGGGTACTATACAGTATACAGAGGAGGCTGCGTTTGTGCTCCCGTTGTTGCTCCGTTTGCATGACAGAGCGCACGGACTAAGACCAGACAGGTACGTATTAACTAGTCTAAGGTAAGGTAAGAACATATGTCAGTATGTAAAAACGGTGAACTATTCCTTTAAACTCCACTCTGACAACAGCCCTAATCACATAAAAACTAGCCCTGTGTGTTTGCCTTGTGTCTCTTTCTGCTGTTCACATAAACACACTGAAGCAGGAATGTGGCTTTGCAAAGTTGTCAATAATGTTATATAAATAAATGTCCCGATCCTCACTGTCCTTGGACTCTCCTGCATCAGAGAGGAGCCACTGTGAAGACCCAGGGGGAAAACAGTTAGAAACCTCTGAGGGTCTCACACTCTCACTAAAGCTCAGAGACCATGTAGCTCTAATTCACAACAGCAGTCGCCTCGGAGGGCTGTACAAAGTTGTTGATTTGCCAACAACAGATCAGAAAATCAAACCATATGAAAATGCAATGATAATAATAATGACCAATGTCCATAAATGTCCTTAAAGTAGCAATATGTAAGATTTTCATGTCAAGTCATCATTAAAGGGCCCTAATCTGTCAAAAGGCATTAATAAAACATGCTCTTTTCAAATAATTTTACTGATAACAGTAGTTCAGAGATATGTGGATTTCCAGCCCCTAAATCTTGTTATTGTTTTCATTTGGATGTCCCGCCCTCCACCGTTTCACCAATCAGAAAGTCTGTGATCCGGGCGCCAGAACTCACCACGTCGAGCTAATCTCACTGGTAAAGTACCATGTGGCCACAGAAAACAAAACAAAGAATACAACGAGGATTTCTATCTTTGTGAAAAAGGTGTTGGTTATAGATTTGTTGACAAAACTCTTGTCTATTCAGCTGTTATGGTCCCAGCTGGATTCGTCTGCATATCTGGCAACCTGAGTCAGGGAGAGTGGGAGAGGCTGCAGTACCACCTTTGGCCACATTTTTACATACTGCTTCTTTAAATGTCCTGAATAGACCCTCATAAGATAAACTTTGTTGTCCCAAGGTAAAAATTCTACACATATCTGCATCCATGAATACAAATTAAAAAGACCATGACAGACACAGAAAAGTGCAGTAGTGCTTTGAGGTCCCTGTTTGATCTAATCCTGCATCATAATAAGCCATAGGTCCTGCAATCAATCTATTTTATTGATTATAGCGCCCTTTACAACGCTCAAGGCAACCAAAGTGCTATACCATAAAATCACATAAAATCAATTAAACAATAAAACAGTTAAATAGCTTTGAGAAAAACATTTAAGTATCGGCAAAGTTATCTTATCCGTGTTATCTTATCGAAGTGAGTGTGGTATTTGCTTCTAAAGGCTTCTCTGGATACAAAAAAACAATTCTTTTCAACCTTTTCCTTGAACTGCACCTGTTTTAACTTTCTTCCATAATATTTTCACATTTGAATCATTCCCAACATTTCCCACATTCCTACATTCACAGCCCACAGCCTCAGAAGCTCTCCAACCCGACGCCTCTGATATTTGGAACAATGTAGTCGTAGATGAATATGTCATGTGTTCAACTTGGACTTGTTATGTCATCCATGTTTGTGTTGCTCGGTCCAGTTGCCAGAGATATTTCCCCTGTGGGTGGGGCACTTTCGAACCACCATCAAATCCATCCCATCTGGAACGATTCGACTGGAAAACTATCTTTCTCTCTCCATGAAATTCCAAAATATCAGATCATCTCCTCAACAAAACCTTTGACGTAACACACTGTGGCTTTTCCATCAGTGAATAAATGAAAATAGTAAATCTCTACAACCTGCTTTGACCAATCTTTAATCACATGCCAGACTTTTTAACACAACTCCTTACATTTCACGTCATTTGCAATTTAAAGCTGAGGTATGTAACTTTTTTTGTTTCATAAATAATGCCTACAACACGATACAATACCATTTATTCTTGTACAGCCCTAAATAACAGCAGTAGTAATCTCAGTGGACTTAACAAAATCATTATAATCTTCATCACAGATCATTTAGAGACATAAAGAGTCCGGAAAAAGTAAAATATTGTGAACAAATAAGCCACAAATGCTGTTTTTATCTTTAAAAACACAATATTTCTTTCTCAACAAAACCTTTGACGTAACACTCTGTGGCTTTTCCATCAGTGGACTTTTGAATAACCTGCTTAGACCGATCTTTAATCACAGTGCAGACTTTTTACGCACAACTCCTTACATTTAACCTCATTTGCAACTTAAAGCTGAGGTATGTAACTTTTTGTGTTTTATAAATAACTCATATTGCTCGTCCCACAACTTAAATAGTCTGGTGAAAGTAAAATACTGTGAACAAAAAGCGCACAAATGCTGTCTTCATCTTAAAAAACACAAATGTTTTTTTTTTCATAAGAGCCCTTTAAGTCACTTTTTGACTCTTTGAGCTGAGAGCTGATTGGCCGAGAGATGTTGGTCTTCTCCTTTTCACTTTTCTGTCCGTCAGAGCCGATCTAAATATGTGACATATCCCAAAACACAGACTAGAGATAGAACCAAAGCTGTTTTTAGAGCCAGGATTTAGACAGAATTCATTACACCGTTCTGAATTTCATGCTGCTTTAAAGTTAGGTACCTCAGCTTTAATTGACAACAAATATGTTTCACAAGTGTCCTCCAGGTTGTCCTTTGGATCCAAGAATATACACACACACAGCAAACATATCACATCAACTTGTAACCAACTTTTTGCATATTTTCTTTGGCAATAACTCAGGTCTCCTTTCACCATAGTAAGATTAACACATCCTGCTGCATGCATCAGTACAGGAAGTAAAGGAAGAAGCAATACTTTCCAAAAAACATGATGAATTATGCAGTAACGACAGGTTTTTTCATGCTTTTTCAAAGGAGTGGAAGTGGAAATGGACCTACCTGTGCTCTGTGGTGAGACTTGCAGCTTGTGTCTCCCGTCTGCCCCTGTGGTTCCTCCCTTAAAGCTCTCCTTCCCCTCCCTCCTCTGCTCTCTCTCTACGGTCTGCTCTCAGTGAAGGTCAGACTGAACTGGGCTGAGGACTTTGAGGACTTTGGGGACTTTGAGGACTTTGAGGACTTTGGGGACTTTGAGGACTTTGAGATATTGGGAGGATTTTGCAACGTGCAGACGGTGTTGGCTTTGGGGGACTGTGCTGAATCGCAT